ACTAAAGCTCATTGCAGCACGCACAATAATGCACAATTTGAACGGCTGTTGTTGCCGTAAATGCTAAACTCATTGTCATACGAGGTTCTCTACAAACAGCAGCGTTCTAGTAACAAACCTATCCGCTATCTTGTTCGGCGTGTGTGTTTTTTTTCCGGGCCATGCAGGCCCACAAACAGATGGACACTATGAGTATGCGGTCGGATGTCAGCGGTCTGAGTCGAGCAAGCAGTATCGCGGGCAAGATGGATGACAAGATGGATGAAGCCAAGCACATGATTTCCCGCATGTCGCGTGCTATCCGCTCTACCAGGTAACTGGAGCGCAGTTGTTGCGCTATTTTGGCTTGTTGTCGTATATACAACCCAACCTTTCTATACAGAACAGGTGCCACATTACATCGTCCACTGGATATTTGTTTGTTTCCCACTGGGGTAGTGCCAGCCATCCGGCAAACATCAATAGTGTTTCGTCTTGGTCATTTGTAGTCGCATTAACTCTGTGATATATATAGACATTGCTGATGTAATGTGTCTAACTACCACTTAGCCTGAGTGAACAATGACCATGAGTCCTTTGAGGGTCGAGTGTCTTGGTCGTTTGTAGTCGCATTAACTCTGTGATATATACAGACACTGCTGATGTATGGGATATTTATAAAGTCTCTCTGACTACTTGCTAGTGGAATTTGAAATATATTCAACCCCGCTTATCCGTAGGCCGAGCAAGTTTGAATATACCAAGGAGAGTAAACAAAAGAGCCGCGGCTCGATGTCCAGAGCAAGCCGTAGAAACAGCGTCCGTGATGAGGCTGCTCTTGAAACATCGTCGGAACTCTTGTGGGAACGGGCGGTTGAGCAGTCCATTGCGCACCGCAGAGGCTGTGGGGGAAATGAAGGTAGGCAACGGAACCGTGGAAGCGGGATATAACCGTTAAGTTTTCTATTAAAGAATATGCAGAGATATCGGTGTACTTGGTCTAATGGTCTTGTAAACAGTACACCTGTATACAAAATATACCTCGTGGTTGTGGATTGTTTTATGCTGTAGACACGACGCGTCTAGAGGGGTTGTTTTGAGTCACAAATTAAATCATGGCAGAGAAAGAAGTAGCTTATGGTTCAATAGGAAAAAGTACAAAAATAGCGTATCTCTCACGTTAACGTATTGACCTTCCGTCCCCACGCAGACGCCAATACTACTACATCATCTCCCGATATTGTTTCCCAACCTAAGGGTGCACGGCCACTAACGGTTGGTACTCTACCCGAGGCGGAATGGTTCTGTGGCCAGGGATCTGAGACTATTGACATGCTGGGCAAAGGACAGGCACCCAGAACCCCCGAAACTGGACTCTGTAAGTCTCGTTCCATTCGCTATGTGCAGCAGACCAGACCTGCAACCAATGAAAGCGGGGCGGTGCAGACCCAGACAAAGTTTGTCAGTCGTCCTGGCTCGCAGGTCGAAGGCAGTGTGGACAGTCGCCGAGTCATGACCTTCCCCAGCTGGGCCCAGACGGAAGTGGATCAGCAGGTATGTAAGTGTGTGTGGCTAGTTTCCGCGCATAGGTAGATGTAAGAGTGATTGTCTAGCGCTAATATAGTTGTGTATTTCTTGTGTATGTATGTCAAAGTAAAAGTGCAGTATGACAACTCTCTCTGTGATATCTTCCAGCACGTAAGTGAACACAGACTCATGCCTTGCGCCTTGAACGTTTTTTACTTCTATTACAACCCCTTCAATTTCTTAATGCATGCATACAGACTTCCGCATCCCTTACGTTCTCATATGCATCGCAAGAAGATGTTCTGCCACAATATACCATATTTGTGGTGTAGAGACATGAGGTTGATCCTTTTTAGTAACGAGTCTACGTTTCTCATCTAAGTAGCGACCTACAACACAAAGAGAGAAACACTGAACTAATCGTATGGCACAAGCGTACTTCGTTGCTGCATTGAGCGGTACCTCCCAAACAATACTTGATCGGTTTTACTCGCCTATCTGCTAGTTCGTTCCCAAACAAGCATACCAAATCCCGAAGTTCGGTGTTGAAAGACTTCTGGGATGCTTGTCTGTTCACGTCCATACCACTGCACAACCTGCAGACGGCCGACACTCTAATGATCGACCAGGACCAGTCCTTAGAGTTGACCCTAGAGATGCAGAACTTTCTCTTCCCGGAGACGGCTGCGATGGAGAGACCTATAGTGAAAATCATCCACGCCAATGACCTGCGCGAGTTGGGTAAGTGTTAGAGCGAGCGTCGCGGTATATATACGGCTAGGTTTAGTGTAGACACAGATGAGGCCAGTTTAAGAGATATAGATGGGGGGATTGCATTCTAGTGTATGTTCGTTGCATGCGTATTCGTATACTCATACACACGCGGTAGTTGCCTGTATGTATGATAGTTGTGCTTGTTTTTGTCATTAGAAAACACGCATAGGACTTTTGAACACGTACGTGTACGTATATAGTATCACATCGCCATTGACATTGTTGTACTAAAACTCTAAAACCCTAAAAACATGTGTGTCCAATCCCATTCGCCACAGACGTTAAACTACGCAATCTGGTCCAGAAGGGAGGCACAACCCCCAAAGCCCATGGAGGCCACATGGCACCTCTAAATCGGATTCAGAACCTGCGCGTGCCCAAGAAGCTGGCTGGTGGTGGTGAGTTATCCATCTGACAAGGACAGCATGTCTTGACGTCTTGTTAATCGTATACCCTTTATGGAGAGTAGTATGGTGTATTGCTTGTTGGTTGCTGTTCCTCTGCTTCAGGACTCTCTGTGGGCTCTGTATTTGATTATCTGTTGCTGATAGAGTGCAGAGGAATACAACTGAGTGGAGAGATTCAGGGTAGATACGCTAGAATACGTTCATGAGCACCATCATTCCAGTAGCAGATATGCAAAGGTCATTTGCCACATATATTGGTGTTGCTGATGTTATTGGAGTATGCGATTACAGAGGTAGATGCAATATATGTGCAGCGGTTTGTAATAGCTGAAGCAAATATTGAAGTACGAGGCGGAGATTGGAAGTACACTTTGAAATATGAGAGCCAAATTGTGTATATATGTCAATGGTATACTCACTTCAGGCGAAGTCGCTTGAAGTTTCTATTGTGTTTTTTTAGCAGTCACTGCAGTATGCGCGTAGTCGGTTACTGGTTTATCAATCACGTCAGAGATCTGTAAATGGTACAAGCCCAATAGTATTCCCATGCCTCCCTGCTATCTGACCACAACCCATACATCACGGAACGAGCAGGAGTATTTGATGAGAACAAGCGACTGCGCAGTCTATCGTCGCCCAGTCCCTTCACGCAGGAGGAGCCAGACGAGGAAATATCAACTAGCCCCGCTACAGATAGTATCGCCAACTACAAGGTGAGTGCAAACACGTATCACAAGAAGAATTCGAACTACATACGAAAGAGCCGAGCTCGGATCCTTTGGATTGGTATTGTACTTCGTATGCGGTGCTGCGAGACATATATGCGTGCACCATGATGACCTGTTTTGGTGCAAACGATATTCACTACTAATGAATGTGAGTGTAAGCTTGAACAATTTGCATATTTGTTTGTACTGGCTCACAACACCTTCTTTTAGGTGAATGTGATGGTGATAAGACACGAAGTAAATCAGTGGCACCAGTCATAACCGAATCTTTTCGCACACTAGATGACTTGATTAGTAGTTATTGGTCTATAAGCGAAGGTCTGGCCCTACACGAGCTTTATCCTTTGGCACATGATTGGTCCGAAGTGTGGGCCTCACTATCTCACCCTTGTTCTCTCACCGTACGGAATGACAGGAAGTGACCGATATCATCAACGCCGCAAACATTTTGGATCTGAGCGACAGCGAGCCCACTCCCAAAGTAGCCGACGGAAGTATTCAGCGCAGCACTGTCAAGCGTGGGCCAAAGGCTCGCCCAAGACCATCGCATCTGCAGGACGATCTTCGATCCGCCAGCAATGGGTCTATGAATAGCACCAGCGCCATGTCAGACCACGGTGAGTCATGAGTGTGATGGAATACCTATACCAATCTCTTTTGCTTTGCAGAACTGGCAAATGTCCGGCCCATTGTCACTATCTATGTACTCAATGAAAAAGTGGATGAAAACCATAAAAACCAGCTTGCCCATATTGATCTTACGACAGCTTCATTCATCCCCAGATAGTATTGTCCACTGCAAAGTTGCATAAAGCGTCCGGCTCCGAAAACATCAGACATACTTTGCCCCACTCTCTGATCTCAAACATACATATAAGAAAATACTGTGTGAGCCAGCCACCATATCAGTATACAACAACTCAATGCTATGCAGTGCATGCACACGTATGTGTATGAGGGTTACCCATGCATTCATTTAGGAAAACCCCACGTGTCAGCGCTCCTGTTCCTAATGAATGTTATTTCCTTTTTGCTTTCTAATTAATCAAGCACTATACCATACATCGCGCCAATCTTCTGCTACTTGCGCCTATTCTCTCATGTACAGTTGCAAGATCCCACTCGAGTGCTTCTGGAGCACCCGTGCCAAACAGACCACCCCCACCAAAGAAGCTGCCAGCCTTTGTCAAGGCACAGCAACAGGAGATCGAGAGTCCCACCATGCTCACCAAGCACGAGGGCATTCAGTCTCCTGATGTATGTTTGATTCTTGTGATGGATGGGAAATATGCATCTTTAAATTTATATATATATTATATAATTGTATATATATATACATATAGACACACACACACACATATATATATATATATATACATGTTTATGTGTATACGTATAATAAGTATTATAGAAAAACGAGTTGCTATATATATTGTTATGTATTGCTGTATATATTGTTAGGTTTTGTTATATATATTTTTATAGTTTTATTGATATATTTATATTCTTATATATTGTCATATACATTGCTATTGTTACTGTTATTGTTAATGTTATTGCTATTGTTCTTGTTAACTTTATTGTT